AATTTTTTGTAGATGGCAAAGTGATTATCTTTGCGATGGTCCATACCCGAAAACCTTCGATGAAGTCAAAAGAACTTTGGAAAATTGTAGAAAACAAAAATATGGTAAAGCTCCTACGAATTGTGAAGAGATACGACACATATTTGAAAACAAAGATATTTATCAAATCCTAGGACTTTCTAGACACAAGGATAGAGGAATATTTTTTAACACAGTGCAATTTGGAGACGGATTTGAAAATTGCATTTTTTCCTCGTCTAAAACCATCTCTTTGATCAAAGAAAATGTCGAAGTGAAGGAAAGATTCTTTCTCTTAGATGCCACATTTCGTTCCGCTCCACGTGGAAATTTCACTCAATTACTCATTATTCACATTAAATATGGTAAAAAGACTTTTCCATTTGTGTATGCTCTGATGTCAAATAAGACGACAGCTGCATATTTAAGTGTTTTGAAATATGTACACGAAAATTTAATACCAATAATTGGGTCAGGCATCATAATTGATTTTGAGAGAGCAATACGATTGGCAATATCTAAACTGAATACGGGAATCAGCATACTAGGTTGTTGGTTTCACTTTTGTCAAGCCATTAGGCGAAAATTAGCAACAATGGGAGATTTATTTGAGTTGGTTCGAAAGGACGAAGGAGCCAAAACCATATTTTCGCAGTTCCAATCTCTCCCCTTACTACCATCAACCCTAATTGAAAGTGCTTTTAAAGAGTTGGCCAAAAAGGCACTTCGACGATCACCTCTATTTGCCAATTTCATTGACTACTTTAATCGTGAGTGGATTAAAATTGTAAAGCCGAAACATTTTTCGGTATTCATGCGCGGCACACGAACAACAGGACCTGCCGAATCCTTCAATTGCCAAGTCAACAAAAGATTCAAAACTCATGGAAATTTTTTTCATTTCTGCGAAGCGTTACAAAAAGAAGAACTTGTTATAGCTCAACAATTGGAAAATTACATTGAAGGAACGGTTCAACGAGAAAAACAACCAAAATATTTAAAAAAACGAAATATAGCGATCAAAAAGTATTCACTCATGCTACAAAATAAAGAAATAACACCAACAGTATTTTTGGCTACTATGGCAAATAAGAAAAATAGAATATTATATGCTGACGAGGATATTTCACTAAATGACGTAGAGGTGAAAATTCTACAAGGGTCGGAGTTATATGGAGGTAACGACGACGTTGTTTATGAAGAGATAGATGAGTCAAGTGAAGTGTCAGATTCGGATATAGACATATTTATCGATGAAAAAGAACCAGTCAAAACAAGGGCCACAAGAAACAATGCAGAAGTAATGTCTGACAGAGGTATCACAGGTACACATACATATAGCACATAATCTGCAATTAAACTATATGTTTAGTAAACATTATTTACAAGTAGATTATTAATTATATGTTATTCTTCATTTCAGGTCGAGTTACCCGAAGTAAAAGAAATGGTCGTAACAACTCAGTCGAACACCCATGTTCTTCATCAAATACTCCACCAGTCATGGGTAATTAATCTACATAAATTTTGAATACTCCTCTATGAAAATATTGGTCAAAAAGTGAATATTAAAATCGAAATAGAAGTAGATAAAAATTGCACCAATTTTTTGTGACCTTTATACTAAAAACAATCGCTTTTAAAAATGATTCCTCCCTCACTTTAGGTCAAGTTACTCGGAGCAATAAAAATGGCCGTAGCAATTCATCTACCTCATCAAATGTTCAAAATGAAAGCGATACTGATGACATATTTTGCAGGCTTACAAGAAGTGGAACTGCTTTGAATAAAATAAAAGCAGCTATTAATATCATTAATACACAAAGCGCATCTTTTGATGAAAACAGCATGGAATGTATACTTGGCTGTGGACGTAACAAGGCAATGTTACTATTACCTTGCCAACATCAGCACACATGCAAGGAATGCTGGTTGATTTGGAAAATCGAAAACTTAAAAAAAATCAATTGCGACGTATTTAATAGTAGTCAATATGACGACAGTGTAATGCAACCAAAATGTCCAGTATGCAGAACAACAGTGAACAAAGAAATTATTGCATTTAATTAAATTGTTGTGACCATTCTCTCTGTGATAAATGAATTATATTGATTTGTATGTTTTTCTTGCTTTACAAGCCACAATGTGGTGATATTTATATTTTTTATGTGAAAAATAAAACAAATCGATGATAGAGGTTACAAGTTACAATCTACTCGATGATAGAGGTTTTTTTTCATGCATAAGTAATTTAATAAGTCGACCGAAATTGAGTCACAATTTTCAATTTTTTTTCTTTTGAAGTGTGTTTCAAATAGAGGGAAAAAGGTAAAAATACTTTCATACACAGTGATATTTTATTTGGAATAAAATCCTTCGATTTTTCGGACGGTAAAACTCAATTCAGTTTGTGATCAGACGGATGAAATAAATCTGTATACATTAGAGTGGTTCGATTTTGACATATTTTCAAGAATCAAAAATCGTACCCCTATAACCTCTGTAGGAAGGTCATAGAAACATGACTATAACAACGAATTCGAAAAATCATAGATTCAGAAAAAATATCTACCAAATATTTTCGTCACAAAATTGATCCATCGGGTTGATCGCAGCTATTTTCATCGATTTGTTCTCTGTGTGTCTCATTGGAATCATTTTGATCAATAGTATCATTTTGAATGTATCTTATCCCTTTGTTGATGTAGAGAATTCGATCTGGAGAAGAAAAATTGATCTGGAGACAATCGACCCTCTTTCAGCAGCGTTGAACTCGCTCGGATTTTGTCAGCTCGGTCCTGAGTATTTAAGAAAATTTGAATTTCATTTCAAAACTTGATTTCTTTCAAAATATTGCAGAAAATGATTAAAACCCAGTCATTTGCAATTACCTTATTTTCCTTCTTTTGTTTGCAGCCGACCAAACCACCACTTTCAGCAAAATTAAGAAATTCGGTAGATTTCATCTAGGGGCATTTTACTATATGCGAATGCCATTTTATACGGAATATGTGAACATTTTCCTATTCATACATTAAATATACGAAGTAAAGTATATTCATCCGCATCAACATCTACGAAAATTTGTACATTTCATTCGTTACCATTCGCGAATGCCGTATGCGGCTTGCAAGATGCGTCAAAATGTCGTGTGGTATTTGTACATACACATCGCTGTGATCAGTTTGTAGTGGCAGTTTCAAACACAATGTCATTGTTCTCAACCAAATTTGAAAAACAGTTGAAGAAAATAATACAAGACTACTTGTTGAATATTCTTTTAGAAGCCGGATTCGATACAGAATGAGCGATTTTAGAAATAAATTCAGATAATATAAAAGAAATTGAAGGTTACGTGAATGAAAATAAAAACCTTTTACAAGACACCGTTTACAGTCATTATATTACGAGTGACAATTGAAATAAACTTTGATCAAACCTACATTTCTGATTTCAATTCAGAAAATGGAAAAATAAAGTGTAAACTTGGATGTCCCGTTTGCAGAACAAATATTAGATGCGAATTTAAGAAATATTGGATTGTGAGTAATTTTGAGGCACATCTCAAAAAACATTTCCAACGTGATTTTGAAACTGTTGACGTGGATATAGAACAAGAAACAGATCAAAAAGCAGCTGAAACAAGTCAAATCATATCGTTTGCTAAAGACCAAATTGGAGTATTGGATGAGATTTTGGACGCTTAAAATCGTGTATAACAATTTCTTAGAAGAAAAAAATAAGCGTATACACTGTTCATGTCAATTAAAGTGTGACATTATTGTGTCGTACATTCACAGTTTGGCGCCAAAGTGACGCGATTTTGTTAATCAAATAAACACATTATTCGTTTATATTTATTATTCGTTTTCAAACAAACGTTCGCTTACATTGCAATATGTATTTTGTCGCGTATCTGAATGCACTACAACGAAACGTTGTTTTACCTGCAACTTGGATTCACAACGTAAATGATCACTTCGAAAAATTCGTGAATAACAGCATAAACAGCAATCAGTGGTTTTTGTGTTACTACACAAACAGCGATGTCGCCTTTATTGATGGTCGTCCGAACGGTGAATTTACACCGAATTTCCGTTTACCTATGGTTCAACGAGGAAATATCGATGGGCAATTTGCTGGCTGCTTTTTGGCAAAATTGAAGAAATTTAAAAGTAAGTACATCCGAGCATGTGAATTATTTCATGTGAATTGTTTCAATAAATTGTCAATTTGCTCGATTTAGAACGTTATGACGACGCGGTTACATTCCTGATGCGTTTGCGTAACATTGAACCAGCCATCTACAATGAGCGCCGATTAGTGGAACTACCTCTCCCACAAGTTGACAATTTGCCTGAACCAAATGATTTATTTGCCGATGCTCGTGAAAACAACGTCACGGATACAGAAGATGGTAATCAATCTGAAGAATTCAACAACAGCGACGTAAGCCAGAATGCTTTGGATGCAGTTGCAAATGTTACTGAAGAATTCAACAACGGTGACGTTAGCCAAAATGCTTTGAATTCAGTTTCAAATGTTGCTCAAAATGAATCTGACGATGAATACTTTGAACCTTTTATGGATGCCAATGATGGTGAAGAACATCAGGAAAATGATGGTTCTCAAGGTCAGGAATCTGATCCATTGGCTACTGTCTTCGTAAAATCTGAACGAAATGTTGCACCTTTAATTAACATTCATATTGCGAACAGTGCCGAGATTGAAGAACTACTCGATGAACCAGACGAAGTAGTGTATGAAGATATGGTAATGGTAATTGGTAGTGCTGGCATGCCAAAACCATTGTTAACTACTGTAGATGAGCTCATAAAGCGACAGGGTGACAAAATGACTGGTGATATTGCTTTCAACGAAACGGTTAGTGAACTTATTCTTTAATGTCATGGCCTTACACATTTCAATATTCATTTTTGTATACTTTAATTTAGGCTCAAGGCAGAGTATATAAAATTGGAACAAAGTTGATTGAAATACCCAAGAAAGCCGTCGAAAGATTAATCGAATGGAATGAAGGACCAATGCGCCACGATGTCGAGTACGATCGAAAGATATGCCGATCGCTATTGTTGTCGTTAGTTGCAAAGGACAACCTATGCACGTTCAATGTTGATGAAGATGTCATACAATTCATCAAAAGTAATTTTAACATTTTGGTCTTTAATTTTATGAACAGTAATTATTTCTATTAAATTTTAGATTGCTTCATCATTCGTTGTGGTGAAATGAACACCGAAGAGCGGATGGCTTCTATCGAGACGTACAAAATGGAATTTTGCACTGCCATGGATAAAGCCAAATCAGTTGAATAAAATGACGAATAGAGAGTCAGTAAAAGAACATCCTTAGTTACATTTTTCATGCATTTAAGAACGAAACATTTTCATATTTATATATTTAAGCTATTGAGTTGTTGAACTTTACATTTTGATTTAAATATTTCGGAAACTATAGAAGTGAACATTTTTAGTTTCAGTTTAAACACACTTGTGTTTCATAAAGTAATGCAACACATAAAATTAAAAACAACCATGCAAATCGAATTAACAAACTAATTTCAAATTTTACTCAATGAGTGATACTCATATTTGTCTCTTGTGATAAAAGAATGAAAAATAAACAAATGTCAATGATCGTGTGATATTTATCACTATAAAATAAGAACAAAATAATTTTAAAAACAATATTTATTTTTTTGCGATTCAATTAAGAATATTATAAACATTATCAAGATTTGGAATAATACATTATCTTTTGATTTACGCTATTTTTTGAACAAATCTTCGAGTTCAAGTTGAATTGAACGTTGGTATTTTTTTGATAAACAAATTCTTTCTTGTGAGTCTTTATGGAAGGCGTGGCGGATTATATTTGCTTTATACTGCTTAATATTTATAAAAGAACTACTGATGAAATCGAGTTTACTTTCTATTTCATTTGGATCAAATTTTAGCCACGAAGCCAACACCTCCACACCACGTTCGTTTTTCTTGTGAAAAATTGGGGCAAAGTCAAATGCATATTTTTTTTCCTTCTTTGTTTTACCAATTATATATCTGAATGATGAAACGTTTCCTAACATAAACGTTGTACTATTATTACTTTCAGCAAAAAGACACCAATCACCAATTTTTATTTCATTAACCGTAAATATTGGCTTCTCGTTAATTGGTACAGCAACGAATTCCAATTGTCGACGGACAGTTTTTTTCTTTTTAACTCTTTGGAGCCGATCAGAGCTAATTTTTTCTTTCGAATTTGAAGCTGCCCATATGATGGTAGACTTGCGTGCGACAAATTCTCCATTACACCCGTCCACTTTTACAAATGCGGTATTTTCATTTATAACTCGATCCGAATAGTCTCTTAGATTTTGAAATTCAATCTGGCTGATAGTTTCGAAGTTTGAAGCAATTCCCAAATCGATGGTTGCGGCAATATCATGATCTTCATCATTTAAACCTAGATTAATTTTAACATCTCGCAGTTTGCAGTTTTCGATATCTTTTGGAGTTAAATGAATTCCAAATTTCTTCGCATCGTTTAAGGCTTCACTGCAGGCAGATTGCATAACACTTTTTATTTCTTCGTCGAGTGGCAGTTTAAATGGGTTTACACTTGTCTTGCTCATTGGATTTCTAGGAAAACAAACATCAAATTCAGATAACTTAAAGTGTACAATGTCGTTCAAAAGTTCCACACGGCCAACTAAATGCATTAATTCAAGAAGCGTAAAATTAATATTCGTGTAATTAATTGTGCCCATTGAACGTAATTTACGGAACGTTTCCTCACAAGGTTGACTATTGAAAATAGTTGGAATGAAAAGTTCAGTCAAGCCATCGGCTCGCAATTTTCTTATCAAAACAATTAGATTTTTTGCATTGAGTTCAATACATTCGTACGCATTTGTAGAGATGAAATTGTCAGCAAGTTTTAAGCCGTGATTTGATTTTATAAATACACGCCATGCGCGTACAAAGTAAGTACTGCGCCATAAACGAAAAACTCTATCCAGTGGAGGTAAATCAGCTTCGTATAGGCTT